TAGGGGACGGCTGACTCACCCCCAACGATGCTTGTTTCAATGCAACCCCTTTGGGGACTTGTGTTGGCGTAGTATTATAACACTACATATGATATGATGGGGAGGGATGCCTAGACTTGAGGTGAATCATTTTAAATGTTATGTATATCACCGATAGCTATGACGAGGATACCTCGTGAGATGGTCTTTGCTATGGTAAGGCATGGGATGGCTTTAGATTATCGTTATGTTGTTAGGCTAGAGGAAGCTATGGTCGTAGCAAGAAGTGCTTTAGATTGGCTATAGGTCGAGTGATGCATGATTTAATGAGGAGTTATATCGCTCGACAGAAGAGATCAAGGATACATCGTTGCCATTGGATAGCCCGTCTTAATGCTGCCACTCGAGAGTATAACATGCCATATGCTCATTTTATTAATGGAGTTAGGACCGGGGATATGATGTTATCGAGGAGGGTATTGACAACTCTGGCCGAAACTGAGCCTATCACATTCAAAGCAGTACTAGATGAATCAAAGAGATATTGGAAGGTGAGGAGGGGGGGGGGGTGCTACAGTGGGGTACTATTTGATATACTAGGTTGAACCAAGCCGTATACGAGACATTCGGGGTGTCTGACCATCATACTCGTAGCATGTCGTTTCTGTTACCCTCTTATCTCGAGTTGTTGCTCAAGTTGATGTTGGGTGGGCTTGTTGCTAGTTGTATGTCTTACTTCTTGGGATCCCAGTAGAGACCTCGTGAGTAACAACGTTAGCCTAAACACTGACTGAATATTCCACATGAACATACTCGAGACAGTATGATACTCACCAACCGTTGAGTATGAGTGTAGTCCTAGGAGTTGACATGAGCTCTCGTGGGCTTGCCTAGCTCTAGGTAGGGGGGGATTGGTGGCCTCCTACTGGAGTTGATGCCTATTATTATGTTCTAGGGGAAACCTGCCATAACCCACCACTGCTCGATTGAGAAAGCTCTCATCGAGGATGAGTCTGACAACTTTCCCACTGAGGACGATGCAATTTGTGGACTTTTTCTCCTTGAGGGAGCGACTCCCTCCAGGCACGCATGATCATCTGTTAAAATGTATATACGGTTCATCATTGCCGCGGTCGGAAGCTGTAGGTTTCAGTGATCGATACGATGGGAAATCCAAGGCAGTATGTCGCTATGAGAAACAGCTTTGTTCGGACAGCTCTGTCAACAGCTCTGATTGGCATAGCCTAGCGTTAACTGCAGTTATCTCTACCCGCGTCTGTTTTTTTGACCAGATCAAGGTTGTAATACAAACCTTGTGCATGTTTACAGCATTATTATTTTTTCCATAAACAATCGATCCTCACGGTATGCTCTCCCCTTCTCACGTTGAGGCCCTCCGTCTCGGGATGGTTGAAAGGCTTTGGAAGAACATGAGAGTCGGTGGTCCTCTACCAGAGTTGATGTGTGATATCATGTCCTATATCGGAAAGCCCGCTATAAATTTTGACTGCCCTATGCAGGAAGTCTTGATCGAGGCTGCACCCAATTACTTCTTCGTTGAGGATAACGTTATCTATGGGGTGGATAGCACAACAGACTCGCCCCACCTCGAGAAGCTATCCCCTCCTGGTGAGCCCGTCACGCTAGTAAACGACTGCACTCGCTATTGCAATACCACCACCTACTACTACGATACCGAAAGAGGCCACCTCTATGTACTGCATGATCATAGGATTGATCGGTGGTCATCGATGCCCGATGTTTTACTCATCGACTTCGATGTGAAGGCAGGACGAGTTCATGAGACTCGTCATCTGGGCGCTCTCTCTGGCATCAGGATTTCCCCCAGCACGATGGCTGTTGTTGGTGAATCGATTTTTCTTGGAGTAAAATTGAGAGCAAGCAGTGGCAACGCTGGATACTCCCTCGAAGTCCTGTATGTTGATCCAGAGGGTAGAGTGTCTGTGGTGTGGTATAATGATGGTAAGCATGACGGTCTACTTCACTTCCTGCCAGTGGCAGCATCACCACCTACTCTAGATGTTATCTACAGCGACGATGGCTTCTGTCATTCAGTTAGATTGGTGAGGACCAGATCTACGGTACCTATCATGTTCGAGAAAAGCTTGAACAAGAGTATCCCTTTGAATGCAAACTCGTCTGTTTTTGCCCAGGGGGGTATCATCATCATTTTTGAGTCCCCTCTAACCATGGCTGCATTTGACAGCTGTCTCAAAGGATCTCTACTCAGTTCAGCTTGCCTCGGAGCTCTCAATGTCTGGGTGTCCAAACTGATGGGCGTGGGGGATTTCATTTCTTGATCAGGCGTATGATCCTTTACGGTCGTGGATACTATCGAGTGCTAAGCTTCTTCCCCTATATGAACTGAGGAGCTGGGTCCATGAATAGGGCTACGACTAGGATCGATGACTTCGAATCGTGTCTTCACTCATAGCTTCTTGTTTTAGTATGACGGAGTGGGTTTGTGCACGTCTTTGCTCATACACAGCTTAGTGAGTTTTCCTCATTATCGGGTAGGAGCTGCCGTCACCATGGTATGCAGAGAGCGATGTATCACTCTGAATGGCGCTTGTCGTGTTTTAATGTTTCCAAACTTTCATAATATCAAGTTGACGAAAATCGATACTGTCAGCCAAATGGACTACTCTCACGATAGCTATCATGTGATGCAAAGCAAACTCGATGTCACCGAAAAGACCAACTCCCACAAGGCAAATGGGAACGAATACGCGCTATAACCGCCCAAACGAAGAAGACGATTCTGTCGTCATATTTATGGGGGAAATTGATGGTTCGTTGTACACACCAGTACTCTATCGTTCCAGGTATCTCCGGATCTATTCACTGCAACGATATCACTATCTGTGCCATCAAACAACGCGTGTTCGCTTGTCGATGGTCATGTTACAGTAAGCTGGATTCCTCTTATACTGAGCACGATATTGACAACTCGAACAAGTCATAAGCTCCTGCTGATGAAAACCCACTAGATGTACCATCATGTATAATAAAAAGACTGATATCCTCATTTAGAGCTTCGACTGAGGTGAACTGCTGAGTACGAGAGCAACGATGTCCTTAGGACTCTTGGAGGAATCCAAAGCGAGCTTGATGTCTACCTTGGGTAGGAGCTAATCAGGAGAGGCATACGCTACACTGAGGGAATGTTGGAATATATGTCTCAGACACAATGTCTGGTTTCCTCAGCTGAGCTTGAAGAGTTTCCCCACTACATCATGGGAATTCACGACGCCTCAGAGTGACAAGATGCGAAAGCCCCAGCATCCGGAAATTCCAGCTTAAGGTCCAGCTTACATCAGGTGTGAACTTCATAGCCTTGCCCAGATTCCCTTTGATCTTCAACTTCCCCGTCATGAACGCCATTTGGGGATTCAACTTGTTAGCCGCTAATTGTACGAAGTCTTTGTCCGAGAGTTGAAATGTGCAGTCGCCACCATCCTGTTGAGGAAGAGTATAAATTCAACAAAGTGATCAAGGCTCCTCACCTCCTGAGCAGCTATGCATTTGCCAGGTTTGGTTTTCAAGTCGATGGTCCACTTCTTCGACTCTCCCGATCCCACCTTGTGAGGGTAAATCTCGAAGGTGTAGGTTGCATTAACCTTATCGACTAGGCTAGCTCCTGGGTTCGACTCATGATTGAAATACCTGCTGCACGAATGCTGTGCGGTCGTCACACAGGAAGGACCTTACTCTTCAAAGATGGCAAAGAGCTTATCAGCCTGCATGATAGGAAGAGGGTCCGTGGAAAAGACTACAGTAGAGGTGTGTGAGCAAAGCGGAGTGATTTGCACTCATGAAACGCAACATTGGATAGTAGTTCAGCAGTAGAAGCATGGACATGAGGGTGGGTGAGACAGGCTCATCAAAAATCGTAGTTGTTATTATGGGATGACGACCTCTACGAGAGGGCTCACCAATGGTGCCGAATCATTCGATCTTACTTGTTGCTGCATACCAATAGTCCGACCCTCAGTATCGCTATCATCAATGATCTCAATATCATCCCCAGAGGAGGATCCATCACCTATACGATAGATAGACAGCACAACACCACGAGAAGCTTGCCTCTGCTGCTAAGTATAGCTTCCCCATCACTCTCTATAATGATATCGTCATCCTCGTGATGAGGGTGATCAGTGATGCTGAGGTCGGGTGTAGAAGTTGATCCCACCTACAATGATAAGTGACATTGGTACATTGGTTTGAAACCTCACGAGGCCTTCCTCTGGTTCCGATCCGATCGATACGATACCATCCGAGCGTGAATCGACCAACTGTGGCTCGGCGTCAAAGTCGTTAACACCAAGATCAGTATTCAGATCAGTATTACTTGCTGGAGGACCGAACCTGATAATGAACACAAATGTAGTGAAGGAACCTCCTCTCCGACATTTCGCGCGCCGTGAAATTCATACGGCGCACTGTAAGGCTACTCGTTTTCTTCCATTTGTCGGAAGCCCTGAGACGGTCGATCATCCTGTGGGTGAGGCCGTGACCATCTTCGACTCCCTTCCCGAGAGTTCCTATCTCGGGACTTGGGCCTGATAAGTAAAGCATCCTAGCTTCCCCCCAAGTCCGAGTCAGTTAAGGAGACTGTAAGGAGACAACACGCAGACGCGTTCATGTAAGGGTTGAAGCACCTCGAGTATTCTGTAACGTGCGGAATACCAACCGTTCCACTATCGTCCATATCCCCTCTTAATAGTTTCCATTCCTGAGTCGATATGCTACTGAACACTGAAGACAATGATATCGACCAGCACCTCTTCGCGTAGCTTCTTTTGTAGTGCCCTTAGCTTCTTCTCATTGGCCTCTATACGTTCTTCTTCCTCTCTATTAAGTATATCCAACTCGTGTTCGAGGTAGTCTAGGTTTCGGAAACGGTCCACATAAGCCTCGTAAAGTCTGTGAGAGCTTTCGAATGGTCATTCAGCGTCGATCCGCTACTGATCCATGAACTCCTGTAGTTCCTCATACTCATCCATGAACGCTGGTCTCACTGTCCTCAGTCCCTGATGATGATG